ACAACAAAAAAAAACTAAAAACCATGTTGACACTCATAAAACAACAATGAAAAAATGATACAAAAATCCAGGTGTGTCTCCACTGTCACTGGTGGACAACACGGGCAGACAGAGTCCAGATCCAAGTTGATTAATCCTAGCAAGCCAGCTGTAGCGTTTCAGTGAGGTACTGGATAATCCCAGCAAACCTGTACCTTTAATTCTGCTGAAGTTTGGGCTGGTTTCTGGCCATGAGGCTGAAACTGGGCCCATTCAGCCTGTAGCTGTCTGTGTACCCCCTCCTTTTTGGATTTGACTCCCTGCCAGCTTGAACTCAGCTCCCTGACTTCCTACAGACTTAAACTTGGCTCCCTTACCCCAATATTGGGAGCTGCTAGATGGAGCGAGCAGTTTCTCTGAGTTCTGAGCTCAGTTGGCCACTCTGCAAGAAGGCTCCCAGCCAGTCACCCTTTCCTGGGCACGTCTAAACCCCAAAAACTCACTAGCCACTGCAGTCTGCTGCATCCACTGCACTGATGTGTTTCTCTGTGAAGACCTCTGGGGTCACCATTAGTCACTGTGCATCTGTAGCTTCAAGCTGCCCGTCCCATGCAGTGAGTCCAGGCTCAGAGAGAAAGCACTGCCTGCCACCTCCTCCTGCCACAGGGAAAGTGAAAGTCTCTTCACTTTCCCTGTGGGCTTCAGTTCTCGCTTCAGATCCTTCCTGGGTCCCAGGAGCCCACATCCCTCCTTTTTCTCCTCACATTGCTATATTCCAGTGTCTGGCCACCAAATCTGAGAGAAACTCTTTTGCTGTTGCTCATCACTCCACCATCTTCCCAGAAGTAACAATTCCATTTTCAAAATAGCATCAAAAAGAATAAAACACTTAGGAATGTCTTTAACCAAAGAGATACCAGACTTGCATATGGAAAACCATAAAACATGGCTAGAATAAATTGAACCCCTAATAAACTGGAGGCCTTCACATATTTATGGCTAGGAAGACTGTACTGAGATTGCAATATATTACAAATTGTGCTACAGATCCAATAAAACTAGGAGAATTCTTTCCTACTGCCTTTTTTTTTTCAGAAATGATAAACTGATCTGAAAAGTCACATGAAAATCAAAGTGAGGCAAAATAGTCAGTATTTTAAAAAAAGAATAATGCTTAAAGACCCAAAGTCCAAACTTCAAAACTTATTTCAAAACTATCATGATTAAGCTATTATGATACTTTACATAAAGGTAGACATATAGATCAAAGAAATGGAATTGAGAGTTAGAAATAAACCCATACAACTATGGTAAATTTATTTTTTCCACTGGGACGAGGATAATTCAGAGGAGACGAATAATCTTTTAAGAAATGGCAATTGACAACTGAATATCTATAAAAGAATTTATCTCATACTAAATATAAAAATTAATCCAAAATAAGTCAAATATATAGCGACCTTAACATTCTTATAAGAAAACATAAGGGTAAATCTCTATTACTTGAATTTGTCAGTGAATTCTTGAAAATAACTCCTAGTATATAACAAAATTAAAAAATTAGATATATCGGATTTCATCAACATTAAAAAATTTGTCCTTTAAAGAACACAGTTAAGAAAGTGATAAAATCTGTGGAATGAGAGATACTTCTCTGAAGCACATGAAAATAGCCAATAAACACATGAAAAGATGCTAAATGCCCTCAGTCACTTGAACTATGCAAATCAAAACTATAATAAGATACTATTTCACACCTACTATTTTGGCTATAATTATTTTGGAAGGAAAACCAGTGAACTGGGTAATAAGGTTCCTATGGAGAAATTGGAATCATACATTGGTGAAAGGTATAGCCATTTTGGAAAACAATTTGGCAGTTCCTCAAAAAGTTAAGCAGAAGAGTTATGACCTAGCAGTTCTAAGTATATGATCATATATGAGAGAAATGGAAACATAAATCATGTATGCCAATGCTCAGTACAGCATTATTCATAAAAGCACAAATGCAAAAACAACCCACATGTTCTTCAATTGATAAACGGATAAACAAAATGTGATATATCTCCTTATTGCAATATTACTCAACCATAAAGTGAAATAAAGTAGTAATAAATGCTACAGCATTTGAACGTGGTTGAACTTTGAAAACATTGGGCTAAGTAGAAGACAAGACACAAAAGACTGCATACTATATGAGAACCATTTATATGAAATGCCCAAAGTCAGTAATTTCATAGAGACAGAAAGTAGATAAACAGTTGTCAGAAGCTGAGAGAAGGGAGGAATGGGAAGTGACTGCAAATAGATAAGGTATATCTTTAGGGATGATTAAAGTGTTTTGAAATCCAGTAATAGTAATGGCTGTACAACTTTGTCAACATTATAAATACTAGTGCATTATAAGTATAATATATCTTTTATGATATTTATATTTCAATTTTAAAAGTCAGTATCAAGCTTGTCAATTACTTTGGCTGGAGTAGACACAAAACATAACATTCTGAAGATGCAATTAAAAACATTGGTATGGGGTTTGGGTTTCAAAAACAAAATACCAACGTTTATTACCTATGACTAGAATTTTTTTGCGTTGTCTTCTAGAACTGGAAGCCCATGTAACTTGCAGTAAGAACTAGTATGTAATTTCAGATTTAGTCTCTTAACTCTTCAAAAACAATGAGTTAGCTAAAGGATTAAGAAAAACAAATCTTCCATGGTAACCAGTTTAGAAGCACAAAAGAGGTTTTTGAATTTTTTTTCTGGCCAGAGTTGGAAAGAAAGGACCGAAGGTAAAAGTATTGTGCCATGGAAAAGGAGGTAACATTCTTGATATACAAAAAAATATGTAGATGAACATCTGAAATATATAGATGTTTGTAAGATATTTATGCCCTCTGGATAACTGAGTGGAGCTGGGCTAGATAATCCTGCCACCATAGCAGTCTCCCTTCAGGCCCTAATGTGTGGCAGGAACGTTTCCATTTCCAAGTGTTGTGAAATGAAAATGGTAGGGAAAATTGTCATTTCCCCTTTTAAAAGATGTTGGCCGCTTTTCATACAGCTCTATAAGAATTCCCAGGTGCACCTAGCTAGTAAACAGAACACAATCAATTTGGTATCATTTCAAGGTGTTTTTGGAAAAAGTACTTAATCATAATATTTTTATTTTCTAAGTATTCACAAGTCAAATTTTAAATAATCCAGACTTAAACTTTGTTGGGTTGATGTCAAACTTCTTTGAATTATAAATTCCAGAAATAAGCTTTTTCCTTGTTGTTGAAAAAAAGTTCTCTTATGACGTATCTATAATTATTAATAATTACTGAAAGGTATGAGAAGTTATATTAACTTCACTTCTTTAGATGCTTGTGCAGCTGAGACTATACATTAAAGAGTCTTCCAGTATCCTGACATTTCTCTAGCTTTCTGGGACTTGTAAACATGTACTAATGATTATTTCTTGGGTTTTTTTGTTTGTTTGTTTGTTTTGTTTTTTGGGTTTTTGTTTGTTGGTTTGTTTTTTCCGGTACTGGGAATCGAACTCACGACCTCACGCTTGTCAGGCAGGCGCCATTCCCTTGAGCTAAATTCCCAGCCCCTTAATGATTATTTCTGAGCTACTTGGATCAGAAAGAGAATATATAGAAAAGATTATGGTAGTTGAGATGATACGAACAGATAAGATGGATGCACATGTTCATCCCTTTGTTTTCATGTGGTCTGGAGTGTCTTCCCATTTGAAATGGAGAGAATGTGTTTTACTTTAGTTACAATTTTTAATTTGTTTTCTTTTGATGGATACTTTACCATCTGAATTGTGACCAAGTATCATTTGTGGATTTGTTTCTGTCAGTCTTTGCCAGGATATGTGTTTGCTATACATTTGCTAGAAACTGGGCTGGGGATATAGCTCGGTGGCATAAGTGCCTGCCTGGCAAGCGTAAGGTCCTGAGTTCGATCCTGGTACCACAAAAAAAAAAAAAAGAAAAAAAGAAACATTTGCTGGAAACTAAACATGAATTGAATAGCTCAGTTTTTGACTTAATAAATTTAAGGCCACTAAGATGTTGTTCCAAATGTGGACACAGTTTTCTGTATATATAAAAAAGAGTAATCCTTTATATCTTTCAGATTGAGTTGTTTTATTTTAGCATTAAGATAGCTTTTCAGATTGTAGACAGTTTTGTTTCACACGCTGATTCATAGGTTCAGCACGGTTTTTTGTTTTTGTTTTTGTTTTTTTGTTTTGTTTTTCTTCCAGTACCAGGAATTGAACTCAAGACCTTGCACTTGCCAGGCAGTCGCTTTGCCACTGTGCTAAATCCCCAGCCCCACATTCAGCATGTTTACGATGTTATTTTGTCCCAGTTTTAGTTTGAGTGTCCATTCTGGATTCTTATATTTTAGTGACTCTAAGCTTAAAAAGTGAATTAGTACTGCTTCCATATCTTACAATGAGACACATTAAGGCACACAGAATCTTGTTTTTTCCAGTAAAGTTCTGCTACAGTCCATCAGAGAGCATGATTTTCCTCAGTCCAAACTCCACACTCCAAAACTTTTACTTGCTGAGCTGTGTCGTGGACCTTCCTGGCTTCTCTGAATTGCATTCTAGGGCCCCTCAGAGTCCCATCTGAAATAACTTCTCTTTCTGTACTTACTTAAAAATTATGGCATCATGTTTTTAAAAATGTTCTTAATGCTTTCAGAAGTAATATTTATGTTTTTGTTACCTTTTGTTATTTTTATTTAATATTTTCCTTACTAAAATGTCTTAGAGATAAGTAGATTGTCTGTTTTCCAGGGTTTTGTTAAAACACATGATCATGCCTTCTCAAAGCATGTGCTGTAAGAGTCTTAGAATTAGAAACATTTTTACTTATAAGTACTACAGACATATAAATTGAAACAGTCTCACAACTGTTTTGAAAGTACTTAACCTGTTAGTGAAAATGGTACCTCAAGTTTCATTCAAGACAAAGTAGAATATTTTAATTAGTTATCTTTATTCCCTTTAGGGTCTAATGAAGAAATTCATTCGATGTTCTACACGTGTAACTGTGGGAACTATTAAAAAATTTCTAAGTTTAAAACTAAAACTTCCAAGTTCTTATGAGGTAAGCTAAATAATATCTAACCCTCATCATTTTGGTAATTCTCATTTGAAGTTCTAACAAGGGGAAATCAACAGATAAAACTGATAATATAGTCAAATTAATTCTTGTAGAAACTTTTTTGTTTTTTCATGATAATTTTAATTTTTAGAATATAATATTCCATTTATATATTTCCAACCTAACATATACTGAATAAATCATGGTAGTGATGTACTTTGTATTTTGTAATTAAAGGAGGTATTTAAAGAATTTAACATTAAGTTCTCTCAAAATAAATATACTAGCTAAATAAATTATTTTTCTTTTTAATATCAACATACTTTAGGATATATCATTTCTTAATCTGAGACGGTTAAATTATTAACAGTTTTTATAGACTTCTTCAGAATTTAAAAGTTGTCTTTTAAAGGATTTCACAGATAATGTTCAAGTAGTTCCATGTTTTCAAAATTGATACTGTTTAGCACATGTAACCAAAATATGCATCTTCATAAATGTTTTACCATGTATTATAGGCGAGGTAAATTGCCCTGACACTGATGACAGGATAGCTTACAATGTGTTCAGTGTTCAGAGAATGTTTATGATCTGAAGGGTATGGTGATAACATAGTGGAGAATATCACTACCTTTTTTTTTTTTTTTTTTTCACTACCTTTTTTTTACCTGCCCAAATAGCAATTTTATAACTTCCTGCTTCCTCGTCCCTGGGTTCTTATAGTAGTATCTGAAAAACTAAAGATCAGGCTAGCTACCTGTATAAACAAAGACATCAAAATTTTTGTGGCTTATCTATAGTAATATTTATATCATAAGAAGTCATTGTGAGAGAAATAAAATGTGATCATGTTTTCAACATAGGCATTGACAGGTATGAAGTCTGTGTTTGGAGGAAGTGTCTAATCCTGAACGTAAAGTTTCTCTCAGATGACTCATTAGTCTGGGTTAAAATGTTTCTTTGTGATTTGGTCCTACAAATACAAAAGTATCCCAGCAACATCCACTTTTACTTTATGGAAAAATTGTGACATTTAAATGTTAGAACCTAATGAACTCTGTAAGGTAAAAGATAACACTTTACAGGTAGACACTGAAATTGTTTTTATGATTAGATTTTGCTTTTTTTAATGAAATACCATTTACCGTACTTTGTACTTACTTTTAAATCTGATTTATTGAGTTGCCATCTAGTTTTCAGGAAGTCGTTAGACCTAAAAAAACTGTTACTATCTGCCATAAAATGTATTTTATTGTACTGCTGTATAAACAAAGATGGAAGAAGAGGTTCTAGCTCCTGTTTATTCTTTACATACCCCAGTCAAAGGACTTCCTCTGGTTTCTATTTTTTTGTTTAGGAATATTGATTGGACTCGATTATTTTGTTGCCCAGCATGTAGGAGATGATTTAATAAAACACCTGACAGCTGAAACTTGTGTGACAACATTTCTAAATGGGGCAAGACAGTTTAGTTGTTAAATGACTGTAGGAGACATATACTTGATTACTAATTCCATCTTAAGTAACTCCCATTACTTCTTTGCTTATTCATTTATTTTACAGGCAAAATAAAGAAAAAGAAGTTATCTCCTTTGTTCTTTCAAGAGTTAATGAAATGAGCTGGGCATGGTAGCACATACCTGTAATCCTAGCTCTTGGGAAGCTGAGGCAGGAGGATTACAATTGTAAGGCTAATCTTCGCAACTTAGTGAGAACCTATCAAGAAAGACAGAGAGTGAGAGACAGAGAGTGAGTTAATAAAATCACATCTGAAAAACATTTCCAAGTTCATATAAGTCAGTACAGTTTATCAAAAAGTCAATAATGCAGTTTCATATGGCTAATGCAATTACTCATTTTAGACTTAAAGTTCACAATTAAAGTCTTTGTCTAGAAAGATACAGAATTATTTAAAGCACATTTTTTCTTCCCTTCCACACTTCAAATGAAATCTTATCAGTTATTTTCAATAGCTAGAGACTGAAATGTTATTCTTTATAGCAGTAAAAAAAAGTTTAATTATGGCTTGTTGAATTAATGAACCTTAGCCAGAGTTCCTTTGGCCTTCCTAAGGATTTAGGGGGTTATTTAGCTCCTGCATCCTAGAGCAGATAGGAGCATTCATAAGTACAACCCTTGCGTGATACTTCATGCAAGGTGAGTAGAGTGTTGTACACGTTTCCAGCCAAGCACAGGGAAGAGGCCAGTCGCAGACTTATGCCAGGGTACTAAGTGTGGGAAACATAGCCGTCAAAAATTACTAGAAACTTTTATGTACCCCAAAGTCCCATAAATTACTGTGTACACACTGGTTACCCCTTTTGAATCCAAACTAATGAGAAGGAAATAACCCCTTTCAATCTTGAGAGTCAGGAAGATTCTGACAGATGAATTCAGAAGCCAGAGGAGCAATTAGAAACTGTGAGCCTGGTCTCCTTTCTGGTCATTTATAAAGGGCAGTCGCAGATATGTGTGTAAAACCTTGAAGATTATGCAGAGACACGAACTAAGAAAATTTACACTGCATTTATAAATTATCTGTATGAACTGAGATAATGCATATCTATTGTGTGACAAGATAAACTGCTTCACCTGAATGGTTAATATTCTGTGGGAAAAAAAAAGTGTTTTCAATAAAGTATTCAGTGTTATTTTAACTAATAATGCTTCTGTAGTTACAACTATATAGATATTTGAAATTTTAAAAATATGTAAACTACTTACAAATTCAGAATTACTTATGTTAATTATCTGTAATTCTTTTTAAAGTTGGATGTACTATGCAATGGTGAAATTATGGGGAAGGATCATACTATGGAATTCATCTATATGACAAGATGGCGACTAAGAGGAGAAAACGTAAATTGCTTTTATATTTACCTACGTGCATATTTATTACATTGTTCAAATTTAATATTACTTAGGAACTGAAAAAAATGCTTGGGAAGGAAAAACTGGTTTCTCATGTTTCTTGCAGCACTCTAAATTTGGTCCAAGTATAAACCAGTGTCTGTGTTAAATGCAAGGTTTTTTAAGGTGAACTTAAAACTGCAGAAGGATGTTTAGAAGTTTGCTAACTTTAAAACAGAGAGAGTGACACATATTTTTTAAAGCTTAGTAATTAATAGGAACCTCAAAGTATAGGAAGTGAAGTTTAGAAAAGTTCTGCCCTGACTCCTATCAGTAAGAGAATTGATTTGGGGTTGAGCTAGAAAGGACAAACACAGTAGAATATGCATGCATGTTTTTTTCAGGTACTCCTTCACAATGATAGTATAAAGTCAGGTCTAAGGGTAAGTGAATTTGCAGTGGCTTCTGATGCCAGATGTAGATTATTGTGCCTTGGGCTCTAGGCAATATGGGAGAAATTGTTCAAAGGAAAAAAACTAAGAAAACCCAAAAAGAAAATCTTGTTTTTTCAACTATATCCTTGATTAGGATTAAATTCTAGGTTCAGGTACACTTGAATTACAAGGAACATGGGATATTAGGAGAACTTGAGACACTAGGGATTGTTAGGCTGACATGTAAGAGTGGCGAAGAGCGTATCCACAGTACGGTTGCCAGATATTCTCAGCATGACCTGAGTATATGAAAAACCTTAATTAAGATTGATTGGAAGTTTGACTAGGCAACTTCCAAGATTACCTTTCAGACATTAAGATTCTGTGGTGTTTATTGTGCAGTATGCCGTACTTTTAAACTCTTAAATAATTTAACATTTCTGTTTTGTGAACTACATTTTACTGCATTTTCATATGGAATGTAAGTTATAAAATACGAAACAAAATTAAGAAAAGTTACTTCACATAAGGTGAATTATGCAGAATCCAGATATAAAAGTTGCCATGTTTGAATAGTTCAAAAACATGCTTAATACTGAATGTAAACATCTCTGTAACTAGCTACGCATGGTGGTGTACACCTGTAATCCCAGCATTTGGGAAGCTGAGATAGGAGGATCACAGCAATTTGAGGCTAGACTGAATTACAGAGTAAGACCCCTGCCTTCTGCAAAAGAAAAGAAAGAAAGAAAACATGTCTCTGTAACTGTTGTAAACAAACCTCACAATATCATGTTTTGTTCTATCCAGTGGGTAAGATTGTGGACTTTTAGAAGAAAAGTCTTGATGTGCTTAATATAATAAATGAAGCACTTAACTTCATTTTTCCTATTTGAGTCTCACGTGGGTAAAGCCTTCCTTGTGAAGCTGAATGCCCTAGCCAATAATAAACAGAGCTCAAAACCAGGACAAAGAAATTACATTCTGAAAGAACCCATCAAACCTTTTTAGGGTTCAGTTTTTAAATATAATTTTCTTTGTATTTGGTAAATAATTGCTTGCCTTTCTGTGACACTTCGTAGTTTTTTATGGATTATCAGGTACGAATTACAGAGAATAAATTGTGTCAACCACCATTGTTGGGGAGTGGATGTTGTGACATTGCACATAATATTAATGTTATATTGAATGTAATTTTAGGTTAGTTGGGCAATTTAATGGGCACTTTTAGTGCTAGTTAGTGTTAGAAGTTAGTGCTAGAAGTCATTCTATGAGTAGACTTGCTGGAAGATTAAAGAGATGTAAACAGTCATCACCGTGAGATCATGATTTGTGCTTTACAAGACCTCTGCAGAAAGTTGCCTACATTTTCAGTTATTTAAATGTCACAGCATAAAAGAGCTAATTCATACAAATTTCTGTTAATAGACTATCAGTTAAATCAGTATTTACTACCATAGCATTTCTGATCACTCATTTCTTAGTAATGTAAGTTCTTTGGTTGCTTGAGGCATATTTTAATAAAAGTTCAAAAAGTGGTACAGTGTCTTAAGCTTTATCAGTCAGGTAGAGAAAAATTATCATTTTAGTACAATAGTAAAGTAATATACTAAATCATTTTTTAATTTCTTTTCCTTGGTAGCTTCATTTTTCTACTTGCTCAGACCAAAATCCCTGAAGTCAGCCTGCATTTCTTTCTCTTTCATCCATCTTTAGCAAATTCTGTAACTTTTACCATCAGAACACTATAATCAGAATCCAGCTGTGTCTCACTACCTTCCCTTCTACCATTCTGATCCCATCCACTATGACTGCTTTCTAGAATGGCTCTGGGAATCTCCCAGCTGGGCTTGACCTTGCTCCCCCACCCCATCTGTGCTTCTCTCCTCATGCCTGAGCCAGAAGGCATGTTGCTCCGCTGCTCCAGTCTGTCCAGTAATGCTTAATATAATTTAGATAAAAGCCAGTCTTTCTAGAGACCTATAAATACTGTATACACATACAGATTTCCTACATCCTTCTCCCACCTGTCCATTTAGTCACCCTGCACACACACAGTGGCCTCTGTGCGTCCCCAGATGTGCCCTGCTAATGCTATATTGAACTAGCTTCTTTACCCTCATCACTTTATTCAGCTTCTAGGTTACCTTCTCAGTGAGATTTTTTACTTCCCAATGATGTTCTTAACCCCTTCATACCCTCTAACACCCTTGCCTCTTGTATATGTGTTTTGTCCCCTGACTAACATGTAATAATGAAGACAGAGATCTCCATTTGTTCACTGCTAACTCCAGCACCTAAAGTACTCCCCAGCACAGAACCCAGTATTTATGTAGAGTAAATAAAGTATATTTTTCTTTAGTAAAGTAATAATTATACAAAATATATCCTAAAGATAATTCATTAGTTGAATGTCAGGTTCTCATTTGTTTTCTGTTAATGAAATTGTAAATCCTCTCTCACGTTCCAATTAAGTATAAATTATTATTAAGTTAGATAAATTCTGACAGAAGAGTAGCATTGACAGATGCTGCAGTGACAATAATTCTTTCACTACGTCCCTACTAGCATATTCATTGTGATCACATCCCTTCCCATCTCTACCATCCATTACTAACAGGAGGCCAAAAACTCTGAAAAGTTCTCATACCTCCTGGCATTGCTAACTGGCTCTTCTTCCTTCTTTCCTAAACTAAAGACCATGTGGTTCTTTCACTTGCTTCTAGAATTTTTAATATTAAACATTTTAACCCACCTAGCATTGGTTTATCTGCACACATATTCACAACAATGTTGAGTAATTTATTCTAAAGTTTTTAGTCAAAAATACAATTTCTTGGATGATCATATTTTACCTTAGTGTTTTGAGATGTAACCATTATGTACACATATGAATGCATGTATAATTTATATAGAGAGGGAGAGACAGAGACACTATCTAGTGTATGTTTATGTTCCTGGACTTTTTTTCTTTATTCTTTCAAGTGAGTCTTTTTCTAAACCAGCATTACATGTCATATAGATTTTATAAAAATCTTATCACATGACTGTTTGGCTTTAATTGTCCAATTCCTGTGGGATAGTTTGGTTAAAGTCCAAACTGCCGTGGCTTGTAAGGCGAATAGTTGGGCCTTTGTAGGTTGCTCTGTGATATATATGAGTACCTGTTAGTATATATCACAATAAAAAGAACCACCTACTTTTTAATTTTGTTGGCTGATTTTACCCATTTATTCTCTCAGGTGATCATTTGAGTGGGATTGTAATTGGCACTAAGTTATATTTCTGTGTTGTTTTGGCTGGAATTGGCATGTTTGTAGTTCATTATTCTCTGTATTGCCATATCTCCTTATATGTTCAATATCTTTTGCTCATGTCTCTGAGTAAAGCTGTAGTTTTTTTTCCTCTAGGATACTACTTTCTGAGTCTTCCGTCTCAGACAAAGCGACTCCATGTTCAGATCACCCCTTACTGTGTCCTATTTCTAGCTTCCTAGGAAGAATCTCAGGCAAGTTAATTTTGCCTTCAGTTCATAAATGGTATCTCCCTGCAACACCCAGCTTCACAACCACTGTTTTCCTTTATCTTGCAGCAGTTCTGCTTCAGGCTTATCCTTTTTTCTGTGAGTCCAGCTCTTTCTGGACCTTCATTTTTGTTATGATGCCTTCTTGAAAAATTTTTATCTTTAAGAATCAAAACAAACATCTGCTCAAATTTAGCTAGCTCTTAGAAGTGTTTCAGTATATAACAGTATTTGCCACTTCAATATTATTATACTCCAAGTTGGCACTGATGTTTTTTTCCTTATCATTGGAGAACATGTACTTTAAAAAATAGCCAGGCATGATGGTGCATGCCTGTATTTCCAGCTACTCCAGAGACTGAGGCAGAGGGATCACAAGTTGGAGGCCAGCCTTGGCAACTTAGTGACACCATGTATCAAAACAAACAAATAGGGTTGAGGTTGTAGTTCAGTGGTAAAGCTCTGTCCTAGCATTCTTGAAGTCCTGGCTTCAATCCATAGTACTATAAAAATTGTATATAATTTATAATAATATTCCATCCCGGTAGTCATCACAGTTTTTTTAAATACATATGGAATTTCATGTATTGTTTTGCACTACTTCTTGTTTGATAATATGTCTTGTGGACAATCAGTAAACTTAGAAATATTTTTTAATATATTGATAAGATTTGACTTATGTGTCTGTAGCATATTAAATTAATACAATAATCTGGTGGAAATTTAGACTTTTTTCTAGTTTTTTGACTTTAGAAGCCATGCTTATAATATACTGCTACGTGTATTTCTGCACATTTCCATTGTCTAGAGTCCTAGAAGCAGATTTACAGCAGAGTATGCATGTTCTAAATTTTGCGAGTTAGTCACAAACTGTCCACTTAAGAGGTTTAACAGTGTATAACCATATCAGGAATATATGAGAATGCTCATTTTCTGATATCCTTACAAACACTCCCTACTCCCAACTTCATATTTCTTTTGTAAACTTTCACATTAATTCTCTTGGAGTTTTTTTGACCACCAAGTTTGTCTTTTTCTTACTGACTTCTAGGAACGCAATATACATTATTCTGAACATGAATTTTTTGTTAAATAGTTCTACTTTATGTTTTTTATTAGTACATGTTTATAGTATTAATTTTATATGTCTCAGCTGTTTTTTCACAGTTATGTCCTACTTGCCTCAGGTTTTTGATCCTTAAAATTAGATTACTAATACCTTTTTCAAAATGCTCAGCAAGAATTAAATGATTAATAGAATACGTGACATGATAAACATTATTTTAGTAATAGTTTATGTATGTTAACTTTCATTTTGATTGTAGTTCTCTTTTCCTTCACTTAAGTCCACCTCTGAGAGCTTGCTGCCAGTATCTTTCTACTCAGAGTCAGCCTTAATCATAGACTGGCCTCCTTGCTCGCCTTTCCTGGAGTGGGCTAAGTACTTCCTCTCAGGACAGCCCCCCTTCTGAAATGACTGTGGTTAGTTTCTTCTCCAACAACTTTTGCCAGTCTAGCATTAAAAGTGACTGCATCATGCTTGTCTTTGCTTCATTTGTATTATCTGTCAGCTTTAGGAAAAACAAACATAATGCGTCTTGACTGATACCAAAGAGATAGGTAGAAAAAAGAATTAGTGAAGATGCCTCCATCTACCCTAACTTTGTGTTCTTGGTGAACACTTTTTGCAACTCGAATCATTAGGCAGACTCTGATAGGCCAGAGATTGGAGACTATTCAGAGAGCAAGAAGGTCACCAAAGGCTAGCACTGCTGGGCAAGGCAAGTCCTACAGCATGTTGATGATCACAGTACACAGGCTCGAGGACCACCTTCTGAAGAAAATAATTGCAAAAGTATTTTGAGGAAATAGATAATTTGTAATCTTCTCAAAGTATGTCTTTTAAAAATCTACTCTAGGATGTTAGAACTATCCCAGTAAATTTATAACTCACTTTTTTATATACTTATTTTTTCCATTTTGAATAGTATGCAATGTTGAATTCATGTATGTATAATTTTAAATATACATTTTATATTTTATACTTCAATTATAATTAAATTATATTTTTATTGAATATAGCATATATTTTAAATTTTAAAATTAAGAATAGGAATGATTTTTCTTAATATGAATGGTTAAAATGATAGAAGGTAGTGAGTTTACAAATGAATCTACTCAAAACTTTTTAAATAGGCCCACTTGTTGATTTACTCCTAAAATATTTATTGAGTGGCTGCTCTGTGCCAGTTCTGGACATTACTGTTAAGACTGCAAATGTAAATGTGAAACAGATTTCAGATTAAAGCTATCAACATAGGTAAGCTAATAATCTAATCTGAACAATATGAAGAACCTAACATAAAAGGGAAAGTGGATCCCGGACAGGTTGAGTGAAATTCTATGCCTTACTCAGAGATCTAATCTTGGAAAGACAGGTTAAAAAGGAGATCTGGGAGAGATTGTTCACCAGAAGGATTGGAAAAGAGAGTGCCTTGTGTGTATTAGGTGAGGATTTCCCCAGGAATTAGTATTTGAAAATACTAATTTTTGGAAAAGATAGCCCTCCATTTTTGTATTTGCCAACTACTAATCTCAGCTAGATGCTGAAATCACTTAAAGCTAAATTTTACCAATCACTAAGTTTTTAAATCTAATTTTCCAAAACAACTATCATTTTCTCAGAGTGTTTATTTAAAATTAATCATATTGCCTCTTATGTTTGACATTAAAATATTTTAAATAATCCGTTTTAAATATGTATCCAGTTGTGGATGCCTCTTATCTGATGAGTTCATCTCCTCCGCAGTTTCGGTGTCTGAACTGCTCAGCTTCGCAAGTCTGCTCTCAGGATGGCCCTTTGTATCAGGTAAGAGGCACTCACGACGGTACATTGCCCATCACAATGCCCTGGTGGTCAGTGATCGCTTTCATTGCAAATTTGCCTTCCTGAGACCTGTCACCATATAAAAATTAACATTTTTTTATCTTTTCAAAACTTAAATTTTCCCATTATTTACATGTCAAAATCATTATGAGTCAGGAGTTTTTAAATAAGTAGCAGCTTCAGCCCTTAAATACCTGACCTATGCTAGATTAGGTAGGATGTTACCTTCCTTGTGTATTATTTTTTTAATGAGTTAATGTACAAGTGAAGGATGAAATGCCGAATTAGGTTACTTTAAATAACAATAGCTTAATCTAATTATAAACTTCCTTACTGGGCCTTGCCCTTAGCGTGTTACTTGTGTTACCTCTTTTGACCTGTTAGTGAGCTAATTTTGTAGTGTGCCGAGAATACTTGAACATACGTTCGAGGAAAGTTTAACAAAAATACATACAGAAATGTAGAAAACAGAAGAGACTAAGTTTAGTATAATAAGGATCATTATTGGATACAGAGATAGTCCATGAGCAACCTTAATCTCATAGACTAATGACAGCATTTTTTAAAAATACCATTGTTCTTTTATCCCAGTAATAAGGTAGTCCCTACTGTATTTCCCTGGAGCAGAGAAAGGAGAGTTATGTAACAACTGAACTAGTAAACTTTGCTGTCCCATTTGGGGGTGGATACAAATGAGTGTATGTTAAGTATTAAAAGAACACTTCAAATCACTGTTCTAAAATTTTCAATTAGCAGTCTATCTAGAATAAGTCAGTGCTATGATAAAGAAATCCGCATACATTCATTAATTAAAATATGTTTCTTTGACATATATTGTTTTAAATCTTAGTTTTTCAGCAGTGATCTGTAAAATCAAGAAAAAAATCATGTAGGGAGCAAAATCATCCTTCTCTGTACATTACACAGATAAGGGTGGGCAAATAATTTAGTTGAGCTGGTAAAATTTGTAAAAATCAGGAACTGGGGATTTAGCTCAGTGGCATAGCACCTGCCTGGCAAGCGCAAGGTCGTGAGTTCCATTCCTGGTACTGGGAAAAAACCAAAAAAAAAAAAAAAAAAAAAAATTGTAAAACTCGGAGATGAAGTTATTTAAGCTTTGAGATTTGTAGCTAAGGCTATAGGCTATATTTTCAGGGATCATAGTGCATTGCTAGCAAAGTTTCTCTGATTGTATAGGATATAAGATTTGTAGCTGACTTTGGGATGGTGAACTATAGTGATACACCATGTCTGTAGCTATAACCCATACATGTGTGATCTTGGTATTTATGTCTGTTTCTTTAAAAGTAAAGGTGTTCTTAAACCATGATCTGAAGTACCTTAATACTTAAACTGGAATAAGACTTCTTGCGGTTCTGGGTCTTGAACCCAAAACCTTCACACAGAGCTTATATCTCCAGCCCTTTTTAAATTTTTTTTTGAGACAAGGTCTCACAGAGTTACTAAATTGCCCCGACGGAGCTCAAACTTTTTTATCCTACTGTCTTAGCCTCCCAGAGTCCTAGGAGTAGAGATATGCCCCAGCATGCCCAACTAAAACAGATTTTTATATCAACACAAATATCCTTTTTTTACACACTTTATTATGGGTATTAGTCTTGTAAGAAAATTTGTAGTTAATAGGCTACGTGTTTTAGCCAAAAAACAGGGAGGAAATTTCTAGGGAAAAAATCACTTTTTTAATGCAAGAACAAATTATGTTATATAATTTATACTATTTATACTTTACACTATTAAAATTTTAAACCTTGGAACATTTTCTAAAATAGACAATTTTATGAAAATATAGTGCATCAAAATTTACCCAAAAAGAAAGAAAATTTAAATCACTAGTTCATGAAAGGCATGAAAATTTAAAGGATTAACTTATTCTAAATATACTTATATGATTTTGTTTTTATATTCTCCAGATTTTCAAGGAAAATATCAATCTTTTTTTACATTTTTTTTTATTTTAAAGAGAATAAAATAGAAGTAAAAAACCAAAAGGATACAGACAAGATGACAGGAAGTTAACAATGGTTATTATATTGCATATTGTTAACTTCAAAGTGGTTGCTCAGATTACCAGATATAGACATGCAAAACTGATCAAACAATAGAAGCACTAACTATTGCTTTCAGTGAACTAGTAGAAATTAGTAGTACAGTTATCTTACCTATCTTGTGGTGTATGTATGTATATATATATATTATTTTTTTCCTTTTTTCTTTTCTCCTGTCCCCCATTCTAGTTGTTCTTTCCTTTTGAGCAATTTCTTTCCCATTCATAATATCTTTTGTACCTCTTAAATCATATTTACTCTTTCAGTTTCTTACGCTAGGGAGACAATACAGTGTATACCTGCATTATATATTTTGTTTTAAATCCTCGAAAAACATGAAATGCTTCTGAATTCATTTCACAAAAATAGCTTAAGTATGATAGCAAAGCTAACATGGAACCCACAATGAGAAAGCTAATACTGAATCTGATTTCAGATGTAAGTACAAAGGTGATAAATAATATACTGACACATACTAAGTGTACTAAATAATATTCTGAAATACTATACTAAAGGAATAGGAAGCCAAACCTAGTAGATATTTTATCAGAAATGCAAGAATGGCTTAATATTGTGGGGAGAATGTCCTTATCTCCCCCCACAATATTAAGCCATAGGTATGTATGTGTGGAAATACATGTATAAATTTATATTTTATACACACTAAAAAATCTCCAGTAGATGCTGAAAATACATTTGATAAAGTTCAGTTTTAGATACTGATGTTTTCCTTTGAGCCTCTTATTTTTAAATTTTTCAGAACAATAAAAAGTTGAAATTATTATATCCTTTAACCTAGATTTGCCAATTAACATTTAACCACATTTTCTGCCACTTTTCCTTTCTTCCTCTTTCTCTGACTGTATTGTCTCTCTCCGTCTCTGTCTCTGACTCTCTTTCTCTCCCTTACTCTGTCTGTTTCTTCCATTTGTTTTTTCTGAAACCATTTGAAAGTAAATAAGCCAGGAGAGTTGATCACTAAGTATGCAGTATACATTTCTCAGAGAGACCTTCTCGTATGCAGTGGTACCTCTGTTCTTGAACTTGATTATTTCCACGGGCCTGGTCCCAAACCGAGTTGGACAAGAATCGAATCAAATTCAGTGGTTAAGTTCAGTGTTCACCTTATGGGGAAATTTGATTTAGTTCTCATCCAATTCAATTGGCATATATCCAGAATTCCATTTTGCACAGAACAAATTTTAATAGAATTTTAAATATTATAGAGATGTCAGTTCTCCCCTTGATTAAATTGTGAAGTCGAATGTAATTCCAAATGTACTTTTACCAGATTCTAGTTTAACCTGACAACATTAATTATTCTAAAGTTCACAGGAAATACAAAAGATGCTTCTGGTCAGTCATTTTTCAAATGAGTAATGAAGTAATAAGTGTAGTACTGCTCATATTAAAGTGTATTATAAAGTTGAAATAGTTACAATCAACATAGACATGAATAAAAAGAATAACTTTAATATAGACAAATGAACTAAATGTAGACATGTAAATAAAAAAATATCTCAGGGATGGATTCTAGTGTATAGGAGTATATGAAAGTCTATAAAAGACAATGTTTCAAATTAATAGAGAAAAATATTAACTTAGCAAATATCTATTGAGCACTTGATATGTACTGGGCATTCTTCTAGACCTAGAGAAGTAAAAATGAACACAGGACTTTTCTCTCATAGAACTCACACTCTAGTGGCTATCAGACAAAGAGCAAACAACTAAATTTTAGTGTTAAAATTTCATGTAGGTAAATAGAATATTTTTTTAAGATGCCTAAAGAGTGCCTCTTTGACAAGGCCTTTTTTGATCAAAAGGAAATGAAAGACATCGCCATATGACTATCTGGTGTCAAAGGAACACATTGCAGAGGCTCTGGGCAGAGTGTGTGTCTGGTTGTTTGAGAATTGCCGGGCCCTGTGGCGCTGGAGTGGGCAAACCCAAAGAGGGTGATGGGCAGTTGCTCCCTCAGGGATGCCGCACTGGAGGTTGAGCGCAGATTGAGTGGGGCTTGTTTTCATTAATTGTACTGACACAGGTGGGAAAATTCAAAACGGACCTCACATTATTCACCAGTATAACTTTCTGATGGTGTAAAATGGTAAATATTAAAAGTGATACTAAAAAAATGATTAAGAAGAAAATATAGTTAAGTAAATGATCTCAGAGTGGAAATGGACCAAAAGTCCCATACTAAGTAAATATTCACAATATGTGTCAGAAAGAGATTTAATGTCCTTATTAAATAAAAAATTCATATAAATCCATAAGACAACCTAACTTGGGAAGTTAAAAAAAAGAAAATATAATTGGCTAACAACGATATACAAATGGTGAAATTCTTTAGAAGTCAAGAAGTAAAACAGTATTTTATGTTTATTACCAAGTGAAAATGGATATTGGATAATAGCCTCTATTGATGAGATTCTGGAAGAATGGCTACTCATTTCTTTTGGAGAAGCAAAAATGGAACAACTTTCTTGAAGACCAGTATAATAGTATTTATCAAAATGCTTTTTTTTTAAATGTGTATGTTATTTGAACTAGTAATTTCACTTCTAAGAATCTGTCCTGTGGGAAAGAATATAAATCATTAGATTAAGATTAATTTATAATAGCAGAAAAGGAATACTCTCGAGTGGGTAGCAAAAAGATATGGATAATTTATGACTCATTTCTTTAAAAGCATAATATGTACCCATTAAAGATGATTGTGTCAAAATGTATTAAATGGTATGGAAATACATTTACAGAATTTTAAGTGGACAAAACTATTTACCAGACAATGTATTTATTGTGATTCCAGTTTGGTAAAAAGTATAGATAAAAAGACTAGAAGATGCACTAAAATTATATAGTGGCTACGTTCAGATGATAGAATTTAAATAATTTTCCTTTTTCCTTGGTGGTTTTCTGTATTTTCCAGTGTACAGTAAAACAAGAGTAGTGTCAACAAAACCATTCTACTCCTTCTCAAATATTTTTATCCCTTGTAGAGCTGTTGAATACTTGTGTATGTTATGAATGTATTCTAAAATGGTGAGTTTAATTACAGAAAGTATGCAAATTCAACAGGAATGGAAAATAAAGCTTGAAAGCAAAAGACATGTTTTAGGTAGGAGTGAAGTGGAATGGATTAGTAAAGTTAGGGTAAGATACCTATGTCAGTGGTCTCATAATCTGGCTGAGCTCTAGAGAGGCCCAGAGAATTTTATGAATTACAGACTTCTGTGCCCCATTCCCACTTTCTGCAAGAACAGAATAAAGTTTAAAATAAAAACAAGTAAACAAAATTAAGCCAAAATAATTTTTGACCTTGGAAACCTGGAGAAGGTGAGACTTTTGATGCTAGCTCATAAGAAAGCTGGTAGTGGCATCTGACTGACTTCTTCAGCTGGAAGAACAAGATCTAGAGGGTTTTTATTCCTATCTTCCTGTCCTATTCTGAGCTGAAAGCTTTGTATGTGCTAAAATGGTCATTTTCAGTATCATAGAATCTAGCTCTTTAGTCTATATGGAAGAATACAGAGTTTTCTGTGCTGCATTTTTGCATTTTTGCATTTTTGTACACTGAGATGTTGCATTTTTGCATTTTTGTACACTGAGATGAAGTAACAGTGAGTGGTTGTCTCAGCCATTTCTTGAAAATATCAAATTACATTTTTAGAGGGGACCCTGCAGCTTTTAGAAAGAAGTTATTGTTTCTCCAGACCCTTTCTGACTTTGTGATGTGTTTCTATATTACGTGAGAAAGTAGAGGTAAAACCAGGCAGAGGTAGCTTGACATATACCTTTACTACAAGCTCTTTCCTCTCTAGCAGTGTATGGTAGCCAGACGTGTGATACCTTTTCTACATAGAACAATACCAAGGACAGTTATGAACCTTTTATTTACATTATGTAATAGTCAAATCAGAGCATTTAATAGCATCAACCGACTATTGAAAGAAGACAGTGACCTAAATACTTCATGTAACGATTACTTGTTTATCCAATATTTTTAAAGGCCATTAAAATAACTTTTAAATGCTAAAAAGGAACAAGTATCAAGCTTGTAAAGTTTTTGGCTTTGTGAAAAGTAGTGCAGTTTCGTAGTTTCATAGCAGGGCGTCTCTTGCTAATGAGTTACTCACTGTATTCTCACCAGCAGCAGCTCTGGGAAAATCCAGCTCAGGTGGCTCAGCCACACAGGGTTAGTAGTGGGACACTTGGAAGCAGGACATGTAACTTGCAGTCCTCAACAAGTCCTGTCTGTCCCTAAGTAATGTGTTGGTATGGTCACTTATGCGACCTCCGTGTGACGTCTGTAGACTTTGGAACTTGACCACTGCTGTATATTAGTGAAAATTTGACTGACTCAAGAAAAATGGCATGCAAAAAAAAAAAAGAGAGTATTAATGTAGTAACTTAAAATTTAAATGACATCTTAAATCTTTACTGTAGTAATCACTACTATCAGGAAATACTGTAAATTATGACTCTAAATTCTTAAAATCTTGTATATAAATTACATTGAATATAAACTATGTTGTTTTTATGCAAACAGCCAACTCATCATCTGTTTTTATTTTATAGTCATACCCTATGGTATTGCAGTATCGACCAAGAATTGATTTCGGTTAGACCAAGGGGCCTAGATTTCACTGAAATGAATCCTGCACTATTTGTTTACTCGTCGACAGATTGCACAGTGAACGGTGTGTGGACTAGAGGGACACAATCAGATTTTCAGCATGCAAATAAGGCCATTGTCTGTCTCTAAATTGTCAGTTGCATTCATGTTGTTTCTATTAAGAGCAAACCAGGTGCCGTTCTGCTACTGAACCATCTGCATAAGGTGTTTGTGCTATCTCACAGTGTGCAAGTCATAGTTGAAATCATGGTGTGCAGCCATGATTTGGCCTCTTGAATATTTTGCTTGCCTGTTCCAAGATTGTCCTAACGTTTAATTACACTAGTAATATGGCTCAATCTTTGTGGTGTTGCAGTTTTCACATACTTACTATTTTATTAATTCTTGTTTAAATAGAGTACTGTACAAGAATCTGAAAATTATATCTGAAGTTATTTTATATGGAAATATATTTAGAAAAGTGGTTTCTGAGCCACTATCTTATTCTTGCTAAGCTTTTTGTGTAAAAAAAATAGTTCATTCTTGAGTGTGCAAGTTGTTTTGTGAAGAATTCCAATTATTTAATGTTGGAGAACATCATAATTGTCAACATTCTAGTCATCTGTGTGGTCTACCAATTGCACAAGGAAGGCATGTTAGCTCTCCAGACCAACATGTGTGTAATTTCTTGGACAGCTGAAGTTAGATTCATAACCATTTGAAATGTTGGCAGCTGATCACATTTACTTCTAATAAAATTAATGTGTAAGTAAGGTTCATCTTGCATAATGCCTTATGACAAGTGGGTGCTGCTTCATGAAACTTCATTGTATAGCCCATTCTATATATGTACATTACATTGTTGTTGTCATTTAATGAATACATTGTTTTCTTTTGTGCTGGCCTTAGGTGTGTGTCATTGTGCCATGTAGAAGGTTATGAATGATGACTTTAAATATTAGGTTTTTTAGAACAGAGAACATTAGCTATTTTATGGATTTCAGATGTCTCAAAACAGTTGTAGGTTTAAAAATGTTAGTTATCACATTTCCAAAACATATGCATAAAAGAGAATACAATTTAGTAGATAAATATGCTACCAAAATTAATGGTTTGAGAATATTTTATTTTAGATACTGTAATCAGAGGGAAATTGGATTATTGTTTTATACATGACTTATTAAAATTCAGAACTGTGATAATTTCCTTGATTTTTCAGTTTTATTAAGTTTTCCATTTGTTTTGGTGTTAATCTGCAAGTCACAGAAAGTCTTGTTACCTTAAGCTATATAAAAACTTTTATTTTAAACCTTTTAAAATTTATGCTTTTCCAAAAATGTCCTTGGAAATTGCTTTAACAATTACTTTCGCAACATGTTTAACCTCTGAAAATTAGACAGATGCTTGGAAATTAGGAGAAACAGCTTGTTTTAGAAATCAGAGCACAATCTATGTGTTAAACACATAGCTTTATACTGTATACATGAGAGAAGTGCTGCATTTTCTGGTAAGATCTATCACAAATTGTCTTCTGAATTCCAAATTACTTCATAGAACTACAATATTGTGTAACTCTAAGAAACACAAAATACAGCTCAATCTGAATGCATTTTATCATATAAAAGACCAAAAGTTCATAATTTTTGTATGTTTTTTTAGTCAAAAATCTATATAAAAATTTTCTGTTCCTACTTGTGAATGAAGTTGCAATAGTATTTTGTTTCTTTAGATTGTTCTTGGAAGGGCTCACATGCAAAATTTTAAATGTTTTCATTAACTTCTTAAATGCTTGGAAAAACGATTAGACTCAACCCAAAACTGAATTTGTTATCCAACTACAGAAAAAAATTTTTGTGAAACCCACTTCCCTGATATTTTAAAATTTGTTTAATTAGTATAAATTTGTCCCAACTAGATCAGTGATTAAAATAGTGTTTCATAGTATTTTACATATGGAAGGTAATTTTAATGAACTCAAGATGAATTGGGTGCGTTTGGAAAATCACAAATAAGGATTAGATATTTTGGCTCCCAAGTCAAAACTTACGGCCATAGGTAAGTTTTAGAGTGAGATCTCTTTAAATTTGTTCTCTTGTCTGATATGTAATTCCACAATTTTCTAAGAAAGTGTTTAGGGAAACAGTTATAGAATTGAGAGTAGTTTTGTATAAAATTCCTTTATTTAGTGTTAATGCATTGACATTTTTATTGAAATGCAGTGAAAAAATATGTGCCAAAATATGTAAAAATCTTACATAAAGAAGGGCATTAATTGTCATTTGGGGATAGGTACACATTAATTTTTGATGGTCCTTAGTAATGTGGTATTGCTACTTCTTCAGCTGACCTCTTGTAGTGTATCAACTATGAGTTTCTAAGTATGGGACTACTTTTATGGCTAGTAGTACACTAAATTCCCAGTTAATTATCCCTTATATCAGATTATAGAACTTGGAAGAAACCAAATATAGAGAAAATATACAAGCACCTTTTTTGGTTAGCTTTATAAATATAGGGTACTTTAAAAAAACTATATAAGTAACCTATCATCTGCATATGTTAAATCACATAATAAACCCAAATTAAATTATTCTTTAATTTGTTATTACTGAAGCAAACTGAATTTTATTACTTCCATTAAAGGTTGTGTTTTCTGTTTTATCTGCCTTAAAAATCAGATATAAAAGGGTCAAGGAACTTTAGATAATAAAAAATGTGTATGGTTTGTAAATATCACTTTAAATGGAAGTAGTCACATTAGTTAATAGAAAAATATGACCTTTTCTCTAAATTAACAAGACACTTACTAAGTTAATAAGATACTTAAAAAGTATAAAAAAGATTTATTAATGAGGTAGTAGTCTGGGGATTGTGTAACTTGAGTAATGTCTTTTAGCTACTTCTAGAAAGGTGTACTATTTCTTTACTCATTGAACATCTGTCCCATACTAATATACCACATTTTATAAATGTAGTGAGTTTGCTCAATTATATTATACACTCAAGTGTTACATAAATTTAAACTGACTCCTTAAAAATAAATGTTATATACTATAGTGAACTATCTAGCTTTATTAAATATTAAGAAGAAAGTGCCTCATTGCTAACATGCATTTCTGTTTTAGATTTACTGCGTGAATTTTGAGTTTTCTGTATGTGTCCCTTATGAGTGGTTTCATATTTACATAGGCACTTGCAAGTTGTAGTAATCACTTTTTAAAAGATTTTCATAAAAATATAGATATCACCAAAGACATTTTACTGTTAATTAGTAACCATGTTGGGGAAACAGTTTTAACTGTTCGGAGGTTGGAAATTTTTAGACTGTGACTTAATTTTGTATAGTCAGGCAATAACCTTAATTAATTGCTAAAATATCACCAAAGAAAGACTTTAAAGTAAATTTTCTTGGTGAGACTGACTAGTCAAGTGCAGGTTTCTCTTGAAATAATCAGAGCACATTTCCTTTTGAACATGTTCAGTTATCTATCCCCATCTGACACATCATAAGAAATCCTCAAATGTCAGAAAGAGATAAATAAAACAAGCTTCCCTCTGAAGGAAAAGTGAGAAGCGTGCATACTTTTGAAAGAAAATTGAAATTAAGTTTATAAATTTTAATTTGAGATGTTTTTTATTCCACAAAGGCAACATAAAATAAATTACCCTTATTTAGCTCCCAGGCTCTTAGTAATATGTAATTTTATTACAGATAGATTTTGATAAAAGTGCTGATGTGCTTATTTGTGTAGAATGTAGTACCTTCTATTGAATTTACATAAATGCTTTTTGTATATTCAAAGACAAAATTTTCATGAGGTCCTGTGTTTCTTGTTTCTCAGCAGTTACTTTATCATTATTAGAATTTTGCCTTCACATCCAAATTTGACAAAATGGAATGCAGAACAAGAGCATCTCTATATACCAAAAGAGATGCACCTTGATGTCTTTTCTCCTGTAAGGTAAAACTACTATTACAAAGTCTGCTCATAGGTCAACTAGTTAAACCTCCTCAGGTTAAAAATGAATGCACATTCTGTTACATACTCTCGTGCATTATAAGGAATTTTCCAGCAAGCTAAGCTTTATGCCATTAAAATGTTGGTTGATTATATTAATTTCAAAAATTAATTTGTTTTGTCATAACTTTTCTGGATTAGAAACACAAAAACTTGAACTGTTATTAATATTATTTTAAGATATATATTCCTACAATCTGGAGAGCATTAAGGAATATAATATGTCTGCTAAATGTGGTTTATGAAAGGTTTAAAAAATACTAAGCCCTCTCAAAGCACACAGTGGCCAGTTATTTCTGGATTTACTTGCTGTACCTGATTCAGTAGTATTTTGGTGGAAAACAGGAGATCAAAAGTTTGTTAAAATGTACTTAACTTAGTACAGAGCTTTCGTTGTTGTATTTTGTTTTTTTTAACAGTGTTTTTCCCAGTAATTTGAAAGTTTATTTTCTGTCATTATAGTTTCAAGAAAAATTAAAATGCTTGAATACTTCCTTTTAAGAAAGTTTTAAAATCCAGCTTAAAGATAACCTAATCACTTTTAATGCTCATGCAAATGTCTGTATACTCATGCCCTTTTTTTATGATTCAGAACTGAGACTGGTTTTTCAGAAATGCTTTTTAATTTTAATTATATTTAAGTCCACAAGTGAAACATGGGTCTAGTTTTCTTTCATCTTATAGAGCTTCATGGAGTAAGAAACTTAGTAGAAATGAAGATTAAATATTTCTGGATAATGTAGAGATAGTAAGCAGTTTAATTTATTTATCCATACACTTAATATCAGTCCACTAGAGCAGGAGTTCTACACATTAAAATGTAATGGGATCAGCCAATATTGTTTGGGGTTAGTTTCTTTTGGTGTAGAAAGAAAGTCTCTTTTAGACTAAAGATGGGGGCCTAAGTGTCCTTATGAAGCTGTGGTCCATGACAAGAGCTTGTGGGGAGGGAGTACCGATGTTCTACTGCTTTCCTGCATCTGGCAGCACAGCGGCGATCGTCAGTTTTATTAGAGTAGCCCTCATGATAAGTAAAGCTACCATAGAATATATTGTAAAGTTACGTTGCTAGTTTTACTTTGAAATATGAAATATTTTAAGCTTTTGTCAAAAGTGGTAACATCTTAATACAGATAAAAACCTTTTTGTGGTTGTAAGATTTAGCTTATAAATCATTCAAATTGAAGTGAAAGATTTACCAGGTCATTGTTAATGACTTAGTCTATTAAGAATATATGTATTTTTTTAAAGGAAAAGCACTTGTAGATATTTAATCAGTACAAGATATATGTCTGTTTTGCAGAAATAAAATGCTGCTTAGAGATTCTCTTTAAATATTTTTTATTTTTGTGCCCAAACGTGTTTTCTGTTGATCTATGGAATGTTCTGTACAAAGCTGTATTACTGTACTGTTTGAGCTAGATACTTTTTTTTAAAATCTGGACTTAGCCAAATATATTTGACCATGTTAAAATTAGTATCTTTGTTATTAAAAATTTGATTGCATAATTTATTGTTTGTCATCTATTTAATATTAGTAGCTATTGATTGAAACCTCCATTTAAAATGTCGTATTTAAGTACTACTGTTAACAAATTTTCCTGAGATTTGAGTATTTGAGATCATTAACATTTTCTAAAGATGCTTCAGCTATTTAGTTTTAAGACGGCAGACTGCCTTTCAGCTCATACACACACACACACACACACACACACACACACACACACACACACACACACACACACACACACACACACCCTCGTTTCCTCATGTCATTGGCCAGAACATGGCCCTTCTGCAAGGAATACTGCAGGACATAGTGAACCTGTTTCCCAAGCAGAATGAAAAGATAGTTTTGTAACCTGCTCCTCAACTCTTCTGCACCTCCATTTGAGGAAAAGGGGTTGCAGTTTTCCAGGTCTTAGAAGTGCTTTTGAGAACACTGGCTCAGCTCTGATCTCCTCACTACTTAAGAAAGACATTGGAGGGCTTTTGCACTCAAGCTGGTCTGAGAAGCTCAGCATTTTATGTAGCTGGGGAATTTGCAGGTAATATTGATCTGGAAGCCATGTAAAGCCCTGCTTAGCATCCATATCCCTGCCCTAGAACCTGGGTTACCCTCAGAATCAAATGGAGAATGGTGGCCCAGAAAGGGTAAGTAGGCACCAGTACTAGCCATGTGAAGAAACGGTCTTCACAAACCTGTACCGTCATTACAATGCTCACTCCTCCTACAAATCCGTTTCTTAAAAACCCCAAATTCCACGTACAGATCCCACTCTTCTAACAGTGCTGTGCTCCTGCTTAGAAAGCACTGATGTACAAAGCCCTTTTCCCCCTACTGAGCCTTTCTCCTCCCTATAGAGCCCCATTCCTCCTTGTAAAGTGCAGCTCTTCAAACTACATCTGGTGCTTCTTAAAAAGCCGTCCCCTCTAGCCCTGCCCTTCCACACAAAGCCTTTCTCCTACAGCCGCCACCCAAAGCCCTGCTGATAACAGGACCTTGCAACTCCTACAAAGCCCTGTTCTTCCTACCAATCCTTCACTTCCCAAAGCCACAATGCATAATCCTTTATAAGTCCCACTGCATCTAATAAAACCTCAGTCCGCACAAAACCCTACACGTCCTACAAAGCCCAGCTTCTTATAAAGCCCCTCTACCCCTTAGAAGGCCCCACTCCTATGGAGCACCACTCTCCCTGCAGAGACTCCACAATAATTACGAGGCTCTGCACCTCCTACCAACCAGAGGTCTTGGTAAGTAAGCCCTGCTCTTCCTACAGAGCAGACTCCTTACAAGCCTTAATTCTTCCTCCCACCTAGTCTAGTACCTTGTACTGAAAAAAAAAAAAAATTAGAGCCTTGCTCCTCCTACAGATGGTTTTTTTGTAAGGCCTGGTTTGATTCTTCTACCAGGTCTGCACCTCATGTTATAAAACCCTGGCCATTCTACCAGGCCTGCCCTCCTATAAGCCGTATCCTTCTCCCCAGGCCCTGTTCTTCAGCCTCATGTAGCAGTTGCTTCTGCAAGTCTTTGATTTTCTTACCTAACCTTGCTCCTGTCACAAAGTCCTCCCCTCCAGGGAGCCCTACTTTTTACAAAGTGCTCTTTCTGTTCACAAATCTCTGCTCCTCCGTGCCTCTTACAGACCCTGTGCCTCTTACAGACCCTGTTTCTTCTTATAAAGACCAGTTCCTTATAAAGCTTTGTTCCTCCTAATAAAACAGTTAATTTTGTATAAATCTGAGATTTTGTCTTCCAAAATTGAGGAATAAATTTGAGGACAAAGGAATTCAGGAGAGTGTTTATTAGAAATAATAAGGAAAAGCTCTTGGTAGACAGCAGGAGGGGAAGAAGTCCTCCATGCTTTCTTTGTCATGGCCTCCCATGGATGGAAGGAGGAGTTGAAAGTAGTTTTGAAAAAAAACTTGTTATCTTGCATTTGTACTGTTTCCTCAAAGTCTGGTTCAAGTCCAGGTCCAGAGGTAGGGAGAAACTGTGTCTAGTTAAAGTCCAAGTCCAGAGGAAGTGAGAAGCTGTCAACTTAGTGTAGCTTATTCCTGGGAAGGAAAGTACTTACTTTCCTTTTTATTGTAGCTTTGATCTTTCTTGCGTTTACCTTTGCATCACTAAGCTCAACCAGCTGCTTGAGTTAGTTTTTAAATGCAAGCTATTTGCCTGTATGGGACTGTTTAGTTAGGCTCTTCTGACTGCATTCTCTAAACTACATTAGCAGAATCCTGCCCCTCCAGCAAAGCACCAGTCCTCCTGCCAGAGCCCTGCTTGCGATTCCAAGGCATTGCTCCTAAGCCTCCCGCCTCCTTACCAATCTTTCCATCTGTCTCTGCCCTGCTCCTCCCGACTGCATGCCACTCTTCATCCTTAAGAAGCCTTCTACAAAGCTTTGCTACTCCTACAAACCCTCTTCCATTAGCTGATGTGTCTTGAAAAGTCCGGTTTTCAAAAACCCTGTCTCTTAAAATTCCTGTTCCTCCTAGGAAGCCCTGTTCCTCCACATAAAGCTTGTCCCTCCTTACAATCTCCACTTATCCTATAAACCCCACTCCTCCTAGGAAACCCTTTTCTTCCCAGAAAGCTCTGCTCCTACAAACTCCTGTGCTTTCTATAAAGCCCCATACCTCCTTGCAAACCTCTGCTGTTCCTTGCAAAACCATGCTTCCTTTTACAAGGCACTGCTTCTATTACCAGTAAAATGCTCTGGCTAAGGGTGGCAGCTACTTAGAAGGCTTTGAAGGAAGGATCCCTTGAGACCAAGACATCAAGATGAGCGTGAGCAGCATAGTGAAATCCCATCTTTTTAAAAAGTTTTAAATGTCTTAAAGTACTAAGGTGTCCTGTAACTTACAGAGCCCTTCTCCTTAGAAAGCGCTGTTCTTCAAGACAAACCCCTGTTCATGCTTGCAAAGCCCTTCCCCTCCCACAAGGTCCAACTCACACCCCCTTTCCTCCAGCAGGTTTATCAGCACTTTCTGCCGTGTATTCAGCTTTTTTAAAACCACAGTCATCGATGTCACTGATATCCTCCCACTAGGTTACAGACTTTGGAAAGGGTACTAACGTGGCCATTGTGGTTTATTCCACACACTCAGGGATAAAAGCATGCTTGCTTTTATAAACTAGAGTGGATGAAGCCAGATTTCAGAAGGAGAAGCCATTCCCGTCAGAGTCTTCTGCCCTTTCCCGGCTGCCTTGTCCCTTCAGGACTTTCACATGATCAGTGTGAAAGTACCAGGTGGCCAGTTCTTCAGTTTAAGAATAAATACCCTGTTCTTTTGTGTAAGATTCCCAAAAGTGCTGTGGCAGCCAGACCTGTCCCCTTCCCACCATATCCTCAACATGGTCTAACACCGGGGAGTATGCGGATGAGAGGGCGGAAGTACACGTGCTCGCTGTCTGAGCCATGGGCCCTGGCACAGGAGCAGCAGCCCCAGTTGTGTCCCTTGGTCATCACTTACCTGATGACATCACAGCCCAGCTAGCCTGTCCTTTCCCTCTGTCCTTCCCCTTTCTCTCTCTTTCCTTTTTCTCCAGAAATTAGCTGAGACAAGCCCTCTGTACACAGGACTTGTTAGTAGCAAAGGTGGTACACTCGTGAGAGAGCTGAGACCTGAGGACCTCGGCACACACGACTTCCTGCCCGGAGCCTGGCGCTTCCTCCCAGCCCCAGCTTCATCCTCGGCTCAGACAGCTGGCTCCCCCACGTGGCCCTGACTCCTGTGGAGCGCGAAGTAGGCATCACAGGCTGACTCGGCAGTGTGACCCGTCCAGCTCTCAGAGCAAGCAGAACCCGTTATTTTTACCAGTGCCCCTCTACTCTTTTCTCTTTTTTCAGTTTCACATCATCATCTGTGTTTCTTTCCTTGTACTTCCTTTCCTTTTAATTTCTTCCTCTCCTTTTCTCCTGCCTTTTACTTTTACATTCCTATTTCTCTGCTTTATCTATCTCTTCTCTATTCTCAACCACTTGTAATCTAACCCCCTCTCCCATCTATTTTTCATTCCTGCCGCTCTTTTCTCCCCATTTCTCCTCGCAGCGCCTTCTGTCACTTCCTGTGCTCCTTTTATATTTTTCTTTTTCCTTTTCCCTTCCGTTCTTGCAGTTGTAATTCTCTCCTTTGGCTCATCTTCACTTCCTCAGAAGTCCCCCCTTTTGTCCCTCCTTGCTGTTCGTGCACAGTGGAGAGAACTGACACTGTGTGTCATTCGTGCGGCCTGAGCTTTCTTTGGGACAATCTGCACTCACTAGGCGGTGGGGATGTGGTGCTGAGCCAGACAGGTGCTCCCCTGACATTAACAAATCCCACAGTACAGGAGGAGATGGGCAGTGGAAGAGGTGATGAAACAAACACAATAAATACATGATTAAATGACTAGTGAGTTTTCTAAAGAAAATGAGTACTATGTGAAAAAGTTGTGGGTTTGCGGGGAGTGTTCCAGACCTTTACAAAATAATGACATTAAGCTGAGGCCGAAAAGATAAGCTGGAACTGGCCAGGCAAAGAGCAGGAGGAAGAGTATTTCTGAGAAAAAGTAATTGCAGCCAGGGCTCAGGGCAGCCCAGAAACCTGCAGAAAGGCAGTCTGTCCGCAGTGGGGTGACAAGGAGATCACAGGAGAGCATTTGGAGAAGGCGAGCACAGGTCCTGAACACACCTCCAGGCCGAATTTAAACGCGTGTATTACTCTTGAGTGTGACAAGAGGGTTTTAAATGGGAGATTGAGCTTGAGATCATCATATTTGTATTTTTAAATTATCACTCCAGGAGCTTGGCAAATAGATGGTAAACTAGGCTAAAGATGAAAACAGGTCCAACAGCTAGTGTAGTAATCCAGGCAAGAGCAGAAAAAAGGGCCTCGGGGCATTGTCAGTGGGACTCAAGATGAAAATCAGCGCAGATGGAGAAAAACAGTTCTCTGTACATCTCCCCCCGCACCCCCCACCGCAGTGCATTGTGCCTGCCTTCAATGTAACCTAAGTTCTTGGGTTG